GATATTTCACATAACAACTTTGAAGGAGCAATTCCTAATACTTTTAGACTTTTTCAGTCATTGATGGTCATAGACATTAGAGGAAATCCTAAAATGAGAGCCCCGGAAACCGAAGTCAATATAACTAGCGGAAAAATTCAGGAATTCATGCGCGTGAGTCAATATATCCGCCAGAAAAATGTTGCCTACAGTTGTCCTATTGGGATGCTTACTTCAACCAATGGGAGCGTTCTGTTTGATCCGAGTTACTATGACTACACGTTTTGTTTATGTGGAGAAGGTTTTTATGGAAGTTTAGGCACGTGTAAGAAGTGTATGTTTCATGGAAATTGTTCTGGCGARCCACGACTAAAAGACAAAAGTAGTCAACAGATCGTGATGACCATGGCGCGTGGCTTTTTCCCATCGCCTTCTGCGGAGAACGTATCTCATCTTGTTGAATGTCCACGACTACCCAGTGAAAACGACTGGGCGTGTAATCCACGTGGTGACTGTGAATGTTGGCTAAACGAAACTTCTMATGCTACTGTCTGTGATAAGTCGTGTATTTGTCACAAAGGAAGCACAGACTGGTTGTGCTCGAAGTGTCTTCTGGGATACTACAAGTCAGGTTCATTATGCGTCCAGTGTTCCACTGATTCAACYGAACTCAGTTTATACTCGCTCATTCCTGTTGTAATCATCTTCTTGCTGGCTATGTGGAGTGTTACGYATTTCTGCAACCAGAAACTTAAGGCAAGATTTGTTGTTGCAGTTACTGAAGTAGTCTTTTTAGTTATATTAAGATTGGCCAAAATAATCGCCGGATGGTTTTTAGAAGTTGGTTTAGTGCTTTTGTTCTTTAGCGTGGCGGGAATAACAAAAAACACACGAGGAGTGATGTCAATATTAGTGTTCTATATCCAGGTTTTCGATGCCATGATTTCTTCAAACAATAGTCTCTTTCCAGATCATGCAAAATTTATCATATCCATCCAACAYTTCATGACCAGTGTCATGAACCTGGACTTTACTGGAATTTCATGCAAATTCCCATTCTTGTTTACACCGCTTGGCAACTACCTTCTCATCTTTCTGTTTCCAATAGCATGCTTACTGTTAGTGTGGCTTTTTTACTGCTTTCGAGCTGTAATTACGACTATCTCGAGGKCGGATGGGCAAGAACAGGGCAATAACAACCCTCTCCAAGACACCCTCTCCTCTTGCAAAAAGATCAGCATAGCATGTCTGTGCCTAACGTTTTTTCCAGTTAGTAGACAAACCATTGCACTGCTAGCTCCCTGTGAGCACGATGGTTCTAAGTTGTACCTACGTATAGCACCTTGGATTCGGTGCACGGACGATGATAAGATATATCCAACCCTGCAACTTCTAGGATGGCTCGGAGTGATGATTTATGTGATCGGTGTTCCGGTACTTTTGCAGTCGTTGCTTATTTGGTACAAGATTAAGAAAGATGCATTTACTGACGAAAACAAGCGACTATGTGAGGCATGGTTGGGCGCCATCTTTCTTCCATATAAAGAAAACGTCCGGTGGTATTTTGAAACATTGAGGCTTTTGGTAAAACTTTTCATTGCAATATTTCTGGCGGTTTTTGCTAACACAAGCACCATTCAGACTTTGACCGTTTCTGTTGTTTTGTTGGCGGCTTTGATTTATCATCTAAAGTGCGAACCCTATGATGAAAWCGCGACTGGAAAGTCTTTTGAAAACTTTCTGGAAGTAATGACGCTTTCCGTTCTCCATATTTCATTTGTCATGCTTCGGTTTGCATCATTTACTAGAGACCCCGACTCAGTCAGCTTCCTRGTTTGGACAGTTATTATCTTAAATATTGGTGTGATAGGCTGCTTTATTGTAGCTATACTATCTGTGGTCATCAATTCATGTTGCAATAATAATGACGGGGAAGGAGAACGCCAGCCTATCTTGCAAGNTATTGGACTAAAATAACCAAGGTTTGGTTAAGCTACGACAGAAATATTAAGCTTACATCTCCATTGCTCTTTTATGTTTAATTGAAAATTTGGTATTTGAAATTCACTGGAAAACCTCAGACTTATACATACTAAGTGTAATTGTTTGTAAACAGACTGTAAAATCAATTTACTTTTAGATACTATGCAAATTTTAGTTGTAAACTATTCCTTGTTTGTAAAATACAATTTTCAAAATATTTACATAGCATGTATAAAGACTGAGATTTTCCAGTGATTGATTTTGTTGTTTTTTGAATAAAATTGAAAAAAAATTGATATTGCGACAAAGGTGTATAGTGATGTCAGTCAATTTTGATGAAAAATCGATAACCATTACGTGGAACTTATAAAATAAATATTAGCTAATAGTTACTATAGCAATAAGGGCAGTTTACAGGAAAGTGAGTGGGTGACTGACTGAGTGACATAGTGAGTGACAGATCGTTCACCTACAATAACTCTTCGATTGCGTAAAAAGAGTGCAACGATATTGATTTCCTTCCTCTGTGTTTTTATCACTCATAATTCATATCTAAATGATTTGTGGTAAATGCTGTCGTTCTCAAAAGTACCCTACGAGCAAGGAAAGTTTCCCATCCCTTGTACAGTGCTTCTATGGACTATGGCGCGTTGAATAAAGTCAAGCTGGCCAACGAGAGGCGGCCTGACCATCTCGGGCTGACACGAAGGAAAAAGTCTGGAAGCGACGCAGAACCCTGAGTACAGCTAGTACTCGATCCCTTTATATTCGCTATACGGGCACGTGCCGCCAACCAGGTATCGTTTTCAGCGATTTTACTCTGGAACAGGGTATCGTTTTTAGCGATTTTACTCTGGAACAGGGTCATGGTTTAATTCCGGAATTATTGATGCTGGGTAAAAATTTACGGGGTAAAAATTTGGTCTACACGCAAGCTAGTACTGGATTTTCTCTGGAACAGGGTATCGTTTTCAGCGATTTTACTCTGGAACAGAGTATAGTTTTCAGCGATTTCACTCTGGAACAGGGTCAGGGTTTTGAGATCCCAGCGGCACACCCTCACCCAAGTTGGGGACGTGGGAGTACTGTGAAAGTTTGTGTATGACATGACGGGTAGGGCTACGTTATGAGAACAGTGGAACATTAAAATAATCTCTAGACAAGTAAGRAAAGCTTAAAATGTGACAGGAACATTTATAGTAGACGGACGTTCCAATTTTATCCTTATGTAATACACCTTTTCAGTT